CAAGCTGCTTGCTGTGGAGGCATTCTTCCATTCTCACTCCCAAACCACTGCTGGTTATCTATAAGAAGCATGAAGTACGGCTCCACCCCGCCCCCCGTTCCCTCCTCTCTGGCTGTGATTGACAACAGAGGGAGCCAATGGCTCCCACTGCTGTGTCTGAGCCTATGAGGAAGGAGAGACCTGGAAGAGCTTCTGCTCTTGTGCACATCTCTGGATCAAGATCAAAAAGTTCAGGTACGTATTGGGCAGGTTGATTGGTTGAGGGGGGGGGGGCTGTACACTGAAGGTTTTTAAAAACTCTTTAGAACTATTTTAAATTCCTAAAGTTTTTGCTGATATGTTTTATCCCTCAGAACTTTCACCATTTTTTTTTACCCATCTCTGGACCTGTTGTATCTTATCAATTTTGTAAGTGAGATCTCCAAAATTGGCCACAGTATTCTAAATGAGGTCTACCTAAAGATGTATATAGTGGAATCAGGACTTCCTACCTAGTGCTGATGACTCCTCATGCATCCTAGAATTTTATTCACATTCGCTCACTGCCTGGAAACACTGTTCGCCAATTTTGCAATTATTTGAGAATAAGTACTCTCAAATCTTTTTTCCTCTGTAGTGCTGGCCAACACTGTACCCCCAATGCTGTATTATGTAAACTGATAATTTTTTCCTAAGTGCATTATTTACGTTTAAACCCATTGGCAGTCTCACTGTTTTGACCCATTTTCCAGCAATGCCAAATCCTGTTCCATGTTACAGACACTTCCAGGGATATTCCACACCTTGTTATCAGCAAAAAGACATACTTTACCCACCAACCCATTAGTTTGTATCACTTAAAGTGTTACTAAACCCACAACAGTATAATCAGTCTGTATATGTAGTAAAGCATGTTTTTGTTATACTCACTGTGGAACCTAAGGGGTTAATCCTCTGCATCATGTAAAAAGGCCGTTTGATCCCATTTTCTATGTCCCTCCTCTTGTTCAGATGTTCACCTGATAAGGCAGACTGAACCCGCAGCCACATGCACTTGCTCAGTTTATTGTGTATTGCTAGAGAGTTTTTTTTTTTCTTGGTAGAGTGCATGCAATCAGCACAGGGCCAATCAGCACTGTCCAGACAGAGAGTCAGGGGTTTTGCATCCTCCTAGAGCAGAAAGAAAACTCCTCCTACAAGCTTTTACCAGTGCTCTGTTGAAGTCACAAGACTGCTCTAACTGCTGATGAGAAAAGGTATTTAGCAGTTTATATTTACTAAAATAATTGCATTTCCATGTTGTGTGTACTGTGGGAGATCAGATAGAGTGAATGCAGGGTCCTGGGTTTTGTAACACTTTGAAGGGGTTGGACAAAAAAATGGAAACACTACATGATTTGAAGGTGTGAAAGTGATGACATGTTTTGTGTTGAAAGCACAAGTTATATAACACTCTTTTGCTTCCGCTGTGTGATGAGACACCTAGTTAACAGGTCGGAAGCCTCACTTTTATTATTCACTGCGTGCACTGTTAGTAGTAGTAGTCGTGTCAGAGTTTACTGAGTTTCAAAGAGGGCAAAATGTTGATGCCTGCTTAGCTGGTGCTGAAGTTGCCAATTTTTTTGACGTGTCACGAGGTATAGTATCATAAGTTTTGATACTGTTTCTGGGAAAACGTCATGCGATAAGCATAAGTGTGGTTGACACGGTCAGCTGACTGAAAGAGTCTAAAGGACATTGTGCAGGATTGTAATCTGGAAAAAGAAAACAACTGCTGCAAAATTGACAGCAAAGTTCTATCTCAGTCTTCATGGAAATACTGAAATTGAGACACGGGATCACTTCTGCTTTGAACGCGATACATGTCATCACTTTCACACCTACAAATCATTTAGTGATTACATTTTTTTGTCTAACCCCTGTACGTATAGATTAAATAGAACAAGGCCTAATACAGAGCCTTGTGGTACACCACTAGTGACTGGTCTCTGTTCTGAATTACAACCACACTCTGGTATTTATCCTTTGCCAACTGCATATCCACTGAACTACCAATGGGTTGAATCCTAGCCTGTACAACTTTTTAGATCATTATGTGGAACTGTATCGAATGCCTTGCTGAAATCAAGATAGGTTATGTCTACAACACCACCCTGGTCCAAAACATTAGTGATAAAGTTAAAAAATGCAATCAGATTAGTCTGACATGATCTGCTTACAGTAAAGCCATGCTGCTTTGGGTCCAGTTGTGTGTTTTTAAGTAATCAATGATTCTTCTTCTCAGGAGGGATTCCTTTAACGTCACTACAACAGATGTTAAACTTGCTGGCCTATAATTGCTAGCTTCTACCTTGCTACCCTTCTTGTGGATAGATACAAATGTAAAAATCAAATGTCAAAAATGTAGGCCAAAATGTATTCTGCTACATATCTTTGCTAAAAAAAAAAACCAATATGTGTAAATTAATTGGTTTACGTGAAAGTTATAGCGTCTACATGTGGCAGTATGTATACTGGAATTTTTCTTTTTTTTTATAAATAAAAAGTAATGGTGGTGATCAGCGACTTATAGCGGGCGGCGGGCATTCAGGCACTGGGGGGAACTGACTAACTGTCACTGACAGTCACTAATAAAAAGAACTGACATGGTACTAATGACACTGGGCAGGAAGGGGTTAACATCTGGGGCGATCAAAGGGTTAACTGTATGCTGTGTGTGTTTTACTGTGTAAGCACACTGCTTTGTATTGCTCTGCTATGCTAAGCAGCATGCTAGAGCTGACAGGGGAGAGATCTGCATTGTTTACACACAGACCTCTCCCCCGTCAGTGTTCCTCGGTGATTGCCAGGTGCCGGCGGGGAATCTCCGGTCGGGACCAGGTGATCAACAGCTGTAGTCGGCAATGACGGCGCAGGTAGGGCACCCCTCTACCCGGAAATACAAAATCACATATATATAGAAGTGATTTTTTTCAGCCCTGCAGCCCCATAGCACTAGTTCTTCTATTGGGCAGTCAGGAAGTGGTTAAATGGTATGCTACATCCAAGTCTCCCTCAACAAAGGTGTTGTGCCCAGTTTTCATTTTAGTGATCCCATTGTATATTTTCCTTCTATCGCTGATGAATCGAAAAAATATATTGTCTCCATTCCTAAAAGATTTAGCCATATCCTCCTCTTTTTGTGTTTTGGCTGCACTGGTAATGTGTTTGGCCTCCTTTTGTCTATTTTATACATCTCTATTGGCTACACAGTCGTTTTACTGCAACCTTTACTTTAATTACTTTTTTAGAAATTCCCTAATTTCAGAAAAATGCGTCCTTTTAAAGTCTAAAAATTTTGTTTTTGTTTATGATTTTTCAGTTCTTGTTTTAATATCAAACCAAAGACACTGATGATCACTATAACCCACATTTTCACCCCTTCATCATCAGACAATCGATTCCCATTTGTCAGAACTAAATCTAGAATATGATCACCTTGGGTTAGGCTTTTTACTAGCAACAAATTACTGTTGCAATGGGCTTTGGCCCACACTTCCTTACTTATTGCCAGTGCTAGGACAAGGTGCTCTGGTATGAGTTGAAATGGGTGGAACTTGCACATCCACACATACAGTGGCTGAGGCAACTGCAGGATGCAGAAATGATTGTCAACAGCAACTGATCTTAGGGTTGCCACTTTTTGGCCCAAGGACAACAAAGCTGAATGGGGTGAGGTTTAGCAATGTGGTTAAACAACAGCAATTTAGTCATAATGAGTGTGTTAAAACAGAGCCAAGTTTTCTTTAATGTTATCTAACCAATCTTGTTTCTCCATCTGGAAACTACTGACAACTTTTCAAAAGTACAAGTTAGCATTAGTACTATGTTTCTGGTATATGATTTTTTTCTTTTTTTTTATTTGGTACTAAAGGATCATTTAAAAGATCACTGACTATCTGCTTACCATGTGACCTATTATGTGATGTCATGTCTCTGTGTTCTACTCCCACAAACTTTGATACATAAACTGATTGATAACAACTCCTTGTTAGATACTCTGCGATAATTGTATGCAACTCTATAGACTATAAAGGTAGGTAAGCTAGTACCAGGCCCATCCCCCTCCCCTCTCCAAAGCAGGGACCGACTCATAAATGCAACTTCACTACCCTTGTCCTTAAGTCTAAAAATCAAAACTTATAAGTAGGTGGAACTGCCTGTTTACATCTGTGTAAAATCTTTGAAAAAATATTGCATGGCATGACTAATACATTAGTTAATCAATTTGTAATATTGTTTATTAATTGTTTAGGAAGTTGTTGTTTTAGAGGTTTGAAGGTCAGCTAATTTAAATCTTTACTCAAGGTTAGGGTAATATTTAATCTTGCAGTAATTTAACATCCCCCACGCTACTGCAAGGGTTGAATACTCATATTGTCTATGGGAAATAAGCATAATTACTACTTCCTTATTGCTCTACCTGATAGCCAGTTTATATAGCGCCAACAGTTTGCTCAGCGCTGTACATTATAAAGGGAGACAGTACATGAGACAGTACAGTAACAATACGATTCAATACACAAGGGGTTCGAGAGCCCTGCTCCTTGAAGCTTACAATCTAGGAGGGAGGGGATAGTGGTACAGGAGGAAATAGCTGTGGGGGATGGAGTGGTAGGAAGAGTGGAGGAGTTCAGTAATTAGCTGAGGGCGGGGTAGGCTTCCCTAAAGAAATAGGTTTTCAGAGTGCGCCTAAAGGTGAGGAGAGTAGGCGACAGTCTGATGGATTGGGGTAGGGAGTTTCAGGGAATGGGGGAAGACCTGGAGAAGTCCTGGAGACGGGAAAGGGAGGAGGACACCAGGGAACTAGAGAGTAGGAGGTCTTGTGAGGAGCGGAGAGTGCGTTTTGGGTGGTATTTGGATACCAGATTGGTGATGTAGTTTGGGGCAGTATTATGAACAGCTTTATAAGTCAATGATGATGTCAAATGTCTGAGAACAGCCTTTCAAAGAGGTGGAAACCTGCAAGAGCTAGGAATAAGGTAACTATTTCACCATAGTCCCACCCTTCCAGACAAAATGAGCATTTAACTTTTGCGATGTTAACATCTTCCCGCCTGGCCTATAGCAGATTGATGGCCGGGTGGGACACTTGCCGTTGTGACTGGGTGTCATATGACGTCCTGTCAAAACGAGCCCCTCACACCACGCAGTACACAGCCAATGACATATCACTACACCTGCCAGTGTCGTGTGATCACTGTGACCAATCACAGCGGATCATATGTCGATTGTATACAATGGATGGTTTCATGTCATGCCATTCATTGTATACAATTATGTTGTTAGCTGTGACTGGTCAAGGCAGTCACATGATACAGACAGGGCCAATCACAGCCCATCTGTATAATGTGATCAGCTTTGCCCAATCACAGCTAATCACAACAAAAGACTGAATGAATCAATTTCATTCAGTAACAATGATTGCAAATATCAAGTGAAATACATTGGTGTTAGCAATCATAATGTATTAAAAAAAAAAAAAAAAATCTTGATCACTTGCCCAGAGTAGTTTAATGTTACAATGGTAACATTGTATTGCTTTAGTCACAGTGTCCTGAAAAAATAAATAGTAAAAAAAGAAAGAATGTAATAAAAAATAAAAAAAATCATAGAAACATTTTAAAAAAATATGAATTCAATTATTATTATTATTTTCACCAAAGAAATGTAGCAGAATACATTTTGGCCTAAATTTATGAAGAAATGTTATTTATTTGCAAAACTGTATAACAGAAATGAAGAAAAGTATTCTTTTTCAAAGGTTTCAGGTGTTTTTTGTTCTATTTATCAAAAAATAAAAAAACTCAGTGGTGATTAAATACCATCAAAAGAAAGCTCTATTTGTGTGAAAAAAATGAAAAAAATTTAATCTGGGTACAGTGTTGCATGACCGCACAATTGGCAAAGTGTGACAGCACTGAAAGCTGAAAATTGGCCTGGGCAGGAAGGGGGTATAAGTGCCCGGTTAAGGGGGGCCCATTGCAAGGGTATTTTTTTATTAAAATTGTGCTTTAAATATGAATCTTATCATTGTAGAAAACCTGAAATTGTTACAGTAACTAAATCTATGCACAGGTTTGCTACTAATATTATTAAGACCTCAGTAAGACATAAGACCAGTAATATCCTACTGTCTTTATCCAGAATGTATGTTGCATTGTCACTAACAGTAGCTGATGGTGGCGTAAAATAATTTCCATGCATTCCTTATCTGTTCTCTCTAGGGATTTAAAAACTACCTAGGCATAATGGTAAGCACATTAACCCACAGAAACCAATCATAACAAGATATCATCATTTTATCTTCCACCGATCTGACTTCAGTAAAACCAAGTCTTAACCTTCATTAATATGTCTTCGCTTTAAACATCGTTGCTCTTTTGTACTGCTCTGTAGGTCTGCTTATGTTTCAATACTTTTTTCTGTTTATAATGTAAAGTATTACAGTAGTGGTACTTTGTTCAAATGTTTTCTATAGTTTGTAACAAATAGCACTTCACAAATACTACTACTAATACTAATACAGTAATAATACTGAAAGTAGTAAAAATCTAATACATAAAAGTATATAGCTGTAAAATTAATTAGGTTATGATAAGACTTATGTACAGTGCATGGGTATTCCAGGGCTTTACTGCTCTTTACTGTGGAACCCCATCCTACTCAAACTTATGATGTTCCTTGTCAGTGAGATCTCCTATCTTTTTTATTAGATTGCTGCCTTTGAACCTTCTTCAAAACTTTTATGTGCTTTTTACAATGTGATGTCCAAAATAATGCAGTATGCGCTATATTCTGTGCCCTTACAAATAATTTACACAGGGACAATTTTTTACCAGCTGCTATGTATGCTTTCACCTGTCATTTTATATACCCCAAGACTTTGCTTACACAGCTGTGCCTAGGCATGAAATTATAATAGGTTATTGTTAACCCGTTCATGTCCAGGTATTATGAAAACCTAGATGTCCAGACCAAGTTTTGAAGCATTAGTGTGCCATGGTTAATTTTACATTGTATTGCCATATAAGGTTTGTATTTAGTGCATTGTTTTAATAAGCTCCCATGTTTTTGTTTTTTTTTATTAAAAGCTGATAACTGGACAAAAAATGTTTACATTTTACACTATCGATTATTGAATTAATTTTTTCACTTCACAAAGAAAAAAGCACAATGACAGCTGCAGACTACAGACCTCTTTGTAAATAAACCTCACTTAGTCACTTTGCTAAAGAAAAAAACTAAAACGAGGTGCTGTCATTGACGGTCCTTTAACACAGATACATTTTAACCTTGCTAAAAAATGCAAGAAAATTATCTCCCTTTCAATCCTATGGGACACTTTACACCACTGCGCTGCAGGTGTGGTGCATTTTAAAAATTCTAATTCCTGCATGCTGCATCTTTGGTGCTCTTTTCAAATCCATACTAAAATCTCAGCTCTCCTTTAAAATGAATGGAAAAACATGTCAAAACCGCACTAAAAATGCATCAAAAGCAGTTGAATTTTTTGTGCTTTTTTTTAGTCACATGTTCATGTTTCATAGGTGCATGCCAACCAGAAAATGAACCAGAAAACACATCAAAATGCCTCAAAAATGTATAATTCTTAACAACGGAGCAGTGTGAAAGCACGCTATTAGTTTGGTCTGAGGATTAAGTCAGTGCACAGGTGGCATTGTGAATGAGAACATTAATTAAGATTGTTTTGATATTTCCAAGTTTCTCAGATTTTTTTGCCCTACTGTATGCTATATATAAATGTGCCTTTAATTTAACATAGGGGAAAAATTATACCACCACAATCTTGTTTCAAAAGCTTTCATTTTTAGTAATACATTTGTTTACTGCCCATGTTACAAATTGTTTAAATGTTTTTATATCATGTCACTACGCTGTTGAGCTCCAATAAAGACAAGCAAGTTTACACTATCAGTAAGGGCTCATGCACACTGCAGCTCAAAGAAGCTGCTCCTAAAGGCTTTTTGAGCTTTCATTTCTTTTTAGTAAGTGTGCTCCTGAAGATGTGCATGCGCACGAAACACGTTCGGTTATGATACATTAAAAATGTTTTATATTAATTATAATTAATTATTTGTTATTGTTAGATATTATATAGATACATTTAACAGCCGTATTCCAAAATGAATTAAATTAATTTCCCTCAACAAACAAATACCCCATAATGACAAACAATACCTCATAATGACAACGTGAAAGAAGTTTGTTTTGAAATCTTTGCAATTTATTAAAAATAAAAAAAAAACACATGTACATAAGTATTTACAGCCTTTGCCATGACACTCAAAATTGAGCTCTGGTGCATCCTGTTCCCACTGATCATCCTTGAGATGTTTCCACAACTTGATTGGAGTCCACCTGTGGGAAATTCAGTTGATTGGACATGATTAGGAAAGGCATAAACAGTACAGAAAACTTTCTGCAGCATTGATGGTCCCAATGAGCACAGTGACCTCCATCATCCGTAAATGGAAGAAGTTTGGAACCACCAGGAATCTTCGTAGACCGGGCCGCCCAGCCAAAATGAGTGATCGAGGTAGACAGGCCTTAGCCAGGGAGGTAACCAAGCACCCAATGGTCACTCTGAAAGAGCTCCAGCATTTCTCTGTGGAGAGAGGAGAACCTTCCAGAGGAGCAACCATCTCTGCAGCACTCCACCAATCAGGCCTGTATAGTAGTGGCCAGATGAAAACCACTCCTCAGTAAAAGGCAAATTGCAGCCAGCCTGGTTTTTGCCAAAAGGCACCTGAGGGACTCTCAGACCATGAGAAACAAAACTCTCTGGTCTGATGAAACAAAGATTGAACTCTTTGGCCTGAATGCAAAGCATCATGTCTGGAGGAAACCAGGCACCGCTCATCAGCTGACCTTTACCATCCCTACAGTGAATCATGGTGGTGGCAGAATCATGCTGTGGGGATGTTTTTCAGCGACAGGAACTGGGAGACTAGTCAGGATTGAAGGAAATATGAATGCAGCAATGTATAGAGACATCCTTGATGCAAACCTGTTCCAGAGAGCTCTGGACCTTAGACTGTGGCGATGGTTCATCTTTTAACAAGACAACGACCCAAAGCATATAGCCCACATAACAAAGGAGTGGCTATGGATCAACTCTGTGAATGTCCTGGAGTGGCCCAGCCAGAGCCAGGACTTGAACCCAATTGAACATCTCTGGAGAAATCTGAAAATGGCTGTACACCGACACTCCCCATCCAACCTGATGGAGCTTGAGAGGTACTGCAAAGAAGAATGGGATAAATTGCCCAAAAATAGGTGTGCCAAGCTTGCAGCATCATATTCAAAACAACTTGAGGCTGTAATTGGTGCTAAAGGTGCTTCAACTAAGTATTGAGCAATGACTGAATACTTATGTACATGTGTTTTTTATTTTTTTTTTATTTTTAATAAATTGCAAAGATTTCAAAACGAACTTCTTTCACGTTGTCATTATGGGGTATTGTTTGTAGAATGTTGAGGAAAAAAATGAATTTAATTCATTTTGGAATAAGGCTGTAACATAACAAAATGTGGCAAAAGTTAAGCGCTGTGAATACTTTCTGGATGCACCGTATATACAATTAGGTTCATATATATTTGGACACAGGCACAATTTTCAAACTTTTGGCTCTGTATGCCACCAGAGTAAATTAAAACAAAACAATCCAAATGAATTTGATGTGCAGACTTTCAGCTTTAATTCCAGTGGTTGAACATAAATATCAAGTACAAATTTTTGGAACTGCAACCATTTTTATAGACAGTCTCTCCAATTTCAGGGGCTCAAATGTAATTGGACAAATGTATATAATCATAAATAAAATGTTCATTTTTAATATTTTGTTGAGAATCCTTTACTGGCAATGACTGCCTGAAGTCTGGAACCCATGGACATTACCTAAAGACTGGGTTTCCTCCATTCTGATGCTTTGCCAGGCTCTAACTGCAGCTGTCTTCAGTTGTTCTTTGTTTGTGGGTCTTTCTGCCTTTAGTCTTGCCTTCAACAAGTGATATGCATGCTCAATTGGGTTGAGATCAGGTGATTGACTGTGTTTTGGATCATTGTCCATCTGTACTGTGAAGCGCCGTCCAATCAACTTTGCTGCATTTGGCTGAATCTGGGCTGACAGTATATCTCTAAACACTGCAGAATTCATCCGGCTGCTTCTGTCCTCTGTCATATCATCAGTAAACACCCATGACCCAATGCCCCACTGCCACTGGAAGCCATCCATGCATGCCCATGCCATCACACTGACTCCACCATGTTTTACAGATGACATTGTGAGCTTTGGATCTTGAGCTGTTCCAAGCCTTCTCCACACTTTTTTCTTCCCGTCATTCTGGTACAGATTAATCTTAGTTTCATCCG